CTGTGCAGTATTTTAAATTTTACGATCCCCCATAGCAAAACCACTTGTACATGGGTGGCCCAGGATAGCTGAATGGACACCTTAGGCTTAGTATACATATCAAAGAGAACACCCTCCCGCCTCCCAGAGCACGAAACTGGCACACCCCCCCTGCAACAAACAATCCCATAACCAACATTAAGAACTCCCTTGCTTTCTAGTAGACGAACAACAACAAAACTATAACACCCTCTAGAAGCTTAGACCCAAACTCCCAACCAATCGTCAGAGCACCCCCAGTTAGAAGTGTCCCAGTATGGGGATAAAACACCCCAAACCCTACCAAAAAGAAAAAAGGTGGCGGGCTAAACTAAAAAACAGCCAGTTCCAAGTGTAGTGAAGAACTCGTTGCCTCCTTATGGAAGCTAGGCCAACCGAATAACGTGCATGACAACTTCTGGGACTTGACGAGGTGACCATTAGAATGCTCGAGTGTTGCAGCAGCACTCCCCGGTCCCCACGTAATGGACTCCTGACATGTAGAAAAGCAAATTGGGCAGTCACAGAGGTAGGTGTGATGGGTGGACCGGGTAAGTGAGCCATACCAGAAGGAGCTCCTTTATCGCAACGCATCCAGCCAGTCCCCCGCCTGGGTCGGGGTGTCGAAGAAGTGAGCCTTGCCTGCATGTTGGATACGAAGTTTGCTCGGATAGAACATGCCATACTGTATTCCCTTCTCCCGGAGCCTGCGTCTTACGTCCACAAAAGACCTCCTGCGTTTCTGGATCTCTGCAGAAAAATCAGGGAAGAACCGGAGTTGCGCATTTCCACAGCACACTTCAGGGGACCTACGAGCTGCAGCCAGGATCCTGTCTCGGTCTCGGTAATTCAGGAGACGGGCCAAGAAGGGACGCGGGGGGGCCCCCGGCGGGGCTCTGCCCGTGGGCACCCTGTGCGCCCGCTCCACCAGAAACGTAGGGGGCAATGTGTCCATAGCCAGAACACGCTTGAACAGGTGTTCAGCAAACTGAACCGCATCTGTACCCTCTTCGCCCTCTGGGATCCCCACAATGCGCACATTATTCCGCCGCATGCGGTTTTCAGCATCATCCACTTTTGCAGCCAGTGCCCGCACGGTATGTTGCAAATCCGTAAGCGTGGCGTTATGTCCCTGCACTTCATCCTCCACATGCGACACCCTCGCCTCGGCAGTAGTGAGACGCGTGCGGATTTTATCTAGGTCATGGCGGATTAGAGTGCATTCTGCTGCCAGGTGGTCAATTTTGGCTGTAAGGGTAACCTGGCACCCCTCTATTGCTGCCAGGATCGCGGAGGTCCCCACTTCTCTTGGGGATTGCGACCTCGTGCCCCCCGAGTTAGAGATCCGGGACTGCTCACCACTCACCCCCTCCACGCCGGCTCCCTCCATGTCCAGCAGCGGCAGGAGAGGCCCAGGAACGAGCACAGGGGAATCCAAGATGGCGCCGGCCTTCCCCTTAGCCTTTGCGTTCCGGGTGGATTTCCTTTGTGAAGCGGCACGTCTGCGGGACTTGGCGGACATAGATCTGCTCCCCGGTAAGTCCCGCACAGGAGAGAGGGTCAGGTGCTGCCAGATAGAGCGGTAGGCAGGAGAAGAACCGGATGTCACGAGCGGAGGCAACGGAGCTTCACAGAACATGTGCACTCAGGCTCGCATCGCGGCCACGCCCCAGCTCATGGGAATGTTTACCTTCTTCTCTGGTTGCTTCACCTGATGTCCACATGTGCACAGTTTGACCCCACTTATTTCTATAGGGCTGGAAGATGAATTTGGCTCCTATCTGTCTACTGGCTCCATGAGAGTCTATGGGACCAAACTATGTTGGGTGAAGGAGCTGGCAGAGAAATGTAAACCCTGTCCTGAGACTCAGTGGTGAGATCTAGGCAAGTATTGAGATTGGGAAAAGGGTAAGAATTTTTTTTTTTAAATGTTTCCCTACCCTTTAATGAATGAACTGTCCTGTTTTAATGGGATACTAGTGTATCTACTCCTTTAAAGGAAGGGTGTAGCTTCTAGAGGTATGTTTAAAACATGTCATCACATGAAGTCACATGAAGGTTTTGGGGAGGCACCAGCATTCGGACACCATGTTTGTTATTATTAGTATTGCTAGTACAGCTAAAACTGAGTGCGAAAAGCATATCGCCGCAGATAGTAAAAAGAAGGTGAGAAAGGAGCAGATAGGCCCAATAAAGGATGGAAGCTAGTCACAAACGACTAGGAGAGGGCCGAGGCGCTGAACGCTTTTTTTTATTAATGCTGCCCATGTTTAATTTAATGGGACACAGACAGCAAAAATAAAGTAATTGGGGACAAACCACTACTGTAAATATACAGATGAAATACATACATGGAAGCTGTTTTATCTGCAAAAATATTTGTTTTTGTTCACTGAGATTTACACAGTTCTGTCATGCAGCACAACTTGGCAAGGCAGAAGACCTGACTTTTCTCTGTTGCAGCGAGGTTACACTTATAAGTCAAATCGCTCCCCACCCTGTTAGTAGACTGTAAAAAGGGGAAGCAGCAAACTGATGCACTCATTAACAACAAAAGTGTCTTTTGTTGTGTCCTATAGTCTGGGAAGCAGAGCAGTTATAGAGTGCTTTATTAAGTTCACACATCCATATTACACTTGCTGGCTTCTGGGTATATCATAACAGGAACAAGAATTAGAACTAATTCATACAGTTTAGGAGGTATGATTCATGTAGCAACTGGAAGTAGTAACATCTACATGTCAGAGGTTTGAACATCACATATCTCCCTCTTAGTACAAAAGAGTCTTTTTCTTTTTCCTCAATATTGAAAAATGCAAACAACAATGTAAAGAATTATATCGCATACAATACTATGCATTTTAAATATATCACTTAATTGGAACACACAGGAAGTCTTCTGATTCTTTGACTATGTCTAGGTGTTTCGGGTTCTTGGTCTCCAGTCTGGTTGTTATCAGTAGGAATATGAAAATGTCCTTCATCAAATGAGACTACTGAAATGTCTTGCCTAACAGGCGCCAAATGGCTGTCATTCCATGGGCATCGATCAGACAGTTCTTAAGTGTAAGGTCATCATTTACTTGTAACTCTAAGCAGATTGGAATATATGGATTGCCCCGTTTCCTAACTCTAACTAGAGATTCAGGTTGAAAGTGGACCACTCTTGCACCATGTCTCTGACATCAGACATTGTGCAAGTTGTATGTCAGCAACATGTAGTTTTGTGTGCATTTGTCTGTGGTGTAGTAGTTCAGCTGGTGGTGCCTGTGTAGTTGCATATAAGAACTCTTAGTATAAACTTTCCAAAATGTCCCTGTAGGATTGTTGAGTCTATCAATCTCTCCATTTGCTTGGGGGTAATAAACTAAGGATTTTCTATACACAATATTTCACTCTCTCAGGGAATATTCCAACTCAGATGAAACAGATTGTGGCACATTGTCAGACACTAGTTCCTTTTGGGTTTCCTACTAGTTCTGCAGTTCACAGGTGCTTCTCTAAAAGGACCTGCAATATCAAGCTTCCCCCAGGCAGAATCATTAAGTGGAACTAAAAAAAATAATTTGATCCTTAAAATCCAGTTTCCAAGTGCCCCTCCTCTTCCCCACGATGGTAGACTAAGAGGACGGTTAATGCCATTGGAACAGACTTCATGCAAATATAGTTGTTTAGTTGTTGCATGCATTTATATCTGTAGTCAAGGTATGATGTCCTCTAGCGGCTGGGTTGTTTAGCCAGTTCCTACCGCTGGGCCTATGGTACAGTATTGTTAGGCTTAGACCCCACCCCTCCAGTTCATCACTACTCCAGTTCCATGCTTCTTCAGGTCTAGGCCTGGTCAGGAATCTCATGCTTGCACTACGTTTGAGAGGTCACTCCTTCCCTACTACTTCCTGGATTAGCCCAAAGGAGGTTGTATTTTACACCTGAGGCCTATGGGAATGGGGTCTCATATGGTGTGCATGTGTGCCCAGGGAAACCTTTCTGGCCATCAGCACTGATGAGCCCTCCATCTTTAAACCCCCACTCATTCCCAACCTGAACTGGCTGCTTCTTCACTCCTAGGTATAGACACCACTATTGCAACCCGCTGTGGATTTTTGATAGCTGCCTTATTCCCAACACCTGGCTGCTGGTAGGTTGTTCCGAAGCTAAACTTCATATACTGTTAGTCTTCACCAAACATTTCAAGGAGAAACTTTTTGGTTTCAGAATTTAGATGGTGGTGGTGATTTAGATACTTAAAATTTACATTCCAAAAATGTGGCGACAGAACATTTTTTTTTTCTCAGTTCTTGATAACTTTTCCCTTTTATCGGTTGACATAGGAGGGGTGCTGTGGTGCTTACGATCTTGTACAGCAGTAATTCTTCATCTGCATGTCCTCTCTATGTCCTGAACTACAGGCCTAAAGACTTCTCGCTTACCCCCGATGGAATATTGCAGATGATATTTCTCTCTACATTTCTTTCTAGTTCTTCCCCGTCTCCTCCAGCCCCACAGTAGGCTGACCTCTCCCAGAAGACCAAACACACAGACAGGCAGGACAAAGTAGCAGGGCAGTAACTCCCTCCCACTACAAAAATGTATGCTCTTTACTACAGAAGCCTAATGTAGCCACTGCCATACTGTTACAGCTGTTATCACGGTGAAAGGTGATCCTCAGAGATTACCGAGTTAATCCTGAACAGAGATTTTAATTATTTATTTTAACTACTTGGTATAAGAATAGCTGTTCAGTATTCTAGATAAATTGTTGGCTTGAGTTTTTTAATTCAGACATTTAAAACTGTATTTAGATGAACTTACTTTGTGTTGTGGGAAAGGAAGGACAACTAAATTGGCCAGATTGAGGTTGGGTAGACATGGGTTCATATTTTATAGATCTATGCTGGTCCCAACCTAGAATTATCAGTGAGTGTGAGAGTAGCTGAATAATCAGAACTAAAAGCTTATATGTTTTTTCAGGTCCAGATTTAAAATTTGAAAATCATGATGCGTAGATTTATGTCTGCTTTTACACGATCGGACAGAGAAGAAACTAAATCGGTACTGGAAGGTTCTGAGTCAGAGAATTATCAAAAGTACATGAGTATTAACAGTGACTCATCTGCATCATGTAGTTCTTCTGAAGAGTCCGCGACAGTCACCTGTCCAACCTGCAGAGGGATTGGAAGGATTCCGAGAGGTATGGCAGTTTCTCTGTTTTATTGTATGGAGGTGGGAATTGTTTTTGTGTTTGGAACTTGAAGTATCTTTGGTTCTATGTAAAAAATGGAACACCTACTACAATTCTGGAATTAATCCATTAAATTGGTTCAGTGTACCGTGTACCGAAGGACTATCATACCTTACAGCTCTGAGTCCTGGCTTTGAATCTGCTAAAAACAATAGAGAGATAAATTGATATGTGTATAATTTTGATATGTTTCTTAAAGGAGAACTATGAGGTGATTGATTTTCACCCGACCTCATAGTTCGAGCCGACGTGTGACAATGAAACTGTCACAGGTCGGCTCAATTGATCGGGAAGTGAGTGAACGCATATTGTCGCTCACGGCTCCCTGCAGGGATTCTCCCCTCCCCTGCTCTGATCCTCCAGCGCTGACGGGCGGAATGGACAGGGGAGGGGGCGAGTACAGCTGGCTCTGCCTCTAGATAGGCCGAGCCAGCTGTCACTCGCACAGCTGGGTGGATCTCGACATTAATATCGGGATCTGTCGCGGCTGCGGCGGTCTCAGTATACCGCAAGCTGTAGCTCGCTATATACTGAGCTTTGGGTCACAGGAGGACGCTAGTATATGTACTCCCGTAACCCTTAGGAGAACTATGGGGAAAAACACTTACCCCATAGTTCTCCTTTAAAGTACTTTAGTCTGCTTCACAATCCAAATCCTGGGGGGTCTTTATCAAAACTGGAGCAGACAGAATCTGGAGCAGTTGCTCATAGTAATCAATCAGCTTCTCTCTTCAGTTGCTCAGTTAAGCTTCGAAAATGAAATCTGAATGTGAAACTGGAAATTACTGTCATGAAACTAACTCAAGAGCGTCTTCTCAAAGAACGTAGTTCTTGTACATAGTGAAATAGTGTGGTTGTGGGTCACTGAATGAATGGGATGGTAAATGCATTAGTATAATGATCTGTATTTATGTCCCCCCTGTTGTTCCCCTGTGTAATACACAGAGTGATGGACAATGCAGGACCCCATAACACAACAGTACTGCTCTGTTCCAGGGACATTGCTTTGCATGCCACTTGTTTTCAGGGGAATAAAAAAAAAAAGATCAAATTAGCACTTCTGATTTGATCACCAACAATTATATAAATGAACCAATAGCATGCATTAAATACCCATATACACTGAGTGGCCAGATTATTATGACCACCCCATCAGTACTTCGTTGGGCTGCCTCGTGACTCCACGAGATGTTGAAAGGTGATGCGAGGAATCTGACACTGCACTGTTGCCCTTCTGTTGTCTTGTACCAGTCTTGCCACTCTCCGTTCTGCCCTAACATTGACTAGTCGCGGACGGCCACAATTCGCACGTTTAGATCCAGATTTTTGGCTGACAGTCCAGTCTTTAAACACTTTAACAATAGCTGCTCTTGAACATTTAACGAATTCTGCTGTTTTGCTGATACTCGCCCCATGGCTCCGAGCGCCAACAATCATCCCACGTTCAAAGGTTGTTAAATTGCGTTGTTTACCCATATCTTCAGAAAAAAAATAACTTCTACTGCCGTGGTAAACAACCTGCTTCCCTATTTATAATGGTCTGGCCCTCTAGCAACTTCAGCGCGAAATTATAGCTAATTATAGCTAATTTGCCTACAAACGACAGGTGGTCATAATAATCTGGCCACTCAGTGTAGATTCTCGTTGTTCATGATTCTGTTCATGTATGAACAGAAGGAGACCTTGTCATAATCTTAGGAGAAGACCAGGATCCATTTTCCCCTTGTCACTGTTACCAGCTTCCCCCAGCATAGAGCATTTCTAACTCTCATCATATTTTGCAGTTTCATGGGACCACAGCTTCTGCTATTGTGCACAGAAAATAGGGAGCATAAAAATCAAATCAAAACTTGTCTTCTTCCTTTAAGAGAACATAGAACAGAGAAAGGGTGAACAGAAAAACAGTTTCTTATCGTAGCAGTTTGTCAAGTGTTGATATCCATTCCATAATCGGCACTTGAATATGAATCTGATTAGTTGTTCTGGGCATTAGCTCAATGTTTCCTTGCTCCAATTTTTATAAATGTGTTCCCTATAATGTACTTTATACAACAGAGGCGTAGTGTATTAATACCACCACATTTGGTTTATCACTGTGCAGTATGTAATAAACATAAACCAAATTTCACATAGGGACTCTCCACTCTGCTCTCCACTAAAGTACACTGTATGATGATTTTTGTTTCAATTACATTTTTTATTGCAATTTATTAATTTTTCTATTAATTTTTAACTTTTATTTAAAATTTTGTTTCAATTTAATTTCAGTTTGTTTTAATTTAGGCCAAGAAAAGGAGTTGGTAGCTCTGATTCCATACAGTGACCAGAGGCTACAACCACGGAGAACGTAAGCTGTTATCCTTTATCTAGTGTTTTATATGTTTGCGTTTTAGTGCTTCACCATTATATCTTTGCCGCCTACAGTTTTTAGATCTATTGCAAAAATGCAATGTAAAAAGTAGTTTTATTTTATTCTGATCAATAGTTAATTTTCCAAGCAATATTAAAGTGTATGTAAACCCTAACAATTAACTTTTTATTTGCTCCCTTTTTGGTGTTTTTAAATATAGCATTGACACTTTTTTTTATATCTGTTCAGCATGTGCAAAAACTATCTGTTGATGTTGTAAAAAATCCTGTCCTATGTGCTATGCACACTTCCTGTGTTATCTCAATCAGTCTAATCAGCCCTCCCGGGTGCTTATCTTGCACTATAGACCAATGAATCCCTATGTTAAAGAAGAACTATGGGGTTAGGGCTTTTCCCCATAGTTCTCCTAAGGGTAACAGGAGGACACAAACTACCGTCCTCCCATCACCCAAAGCTCAGTATGCAGCTCGCGGTATACTGAGACGCCGCAGCTGAAACGGATCCCGACAATTATGTCGGGATCCGCCCAGCTGTGTGAGTGACAGCTGGCTCTGCCTATCTTGAGGCAGAGCCAGCTGTACCCGCCCCCTCCCCCGTCCGTTCCGCCAGTCAGCGCTGTGCATTCTGGCACATCAAGAGATATTTTCTGTACTTACAGGGTATTTAAAATGAAGAACGTGGGGAAATGTGAATGTGTTGCAGAGATGTACTACATGTGTTTCCATTATATTTTCCCTTGCCATACTCTTTAAATTTGTATTCCTGCTTGATAATACATCACCTCTTTCCCTACAGCATTTAAGGAAGTTTTAGCTGACAGACGAGCTAACTGTATGCTGCATTAGCTAGATTCCTGTCCTAGAATTGCTGACCTTAACAAGAACTTACATTAAACTCTCTATAGAGACAATCTCTGAGGTGACAAGATAAAGGGACAGCTCCAAACCATTACATTTACCATGTATTGTTACTTTATTTTGTCACTAGATTCCTTGTATCTTTAGTTCCATAAACAATATACTGTCCTCCTATAGAATATTATCTAATGTACTGTTAAGAAAATAGCAATGTACCTTTTACCAGTAAAATTCCAGGGCCAAAGAGCCCTGCAACTGGTTCAGCTATGGGCCTTCTTTTTAGGGTTGTTTCTTGTTAATATGGAAGTGATAAATCTATTTTTGAGTAGGAAGAGTGGGTAGGAAGAGGGAGGGCTTTTTTTTTTTTTTATTTCCCAGAAGTTTTGACATTTCCTATATATCTATAGACCAGAGTTTCTCAACCTTCAAATCGTCAATACTTCCTTTAAACTTTTGAAAAATCTTGACACTACAGTCTAAATTTAAAACCTGTACTTGTAAAAAATTAAGTGTGGTCCCTCCAAAATCAATATCAGACCCCTATCTTGGATTTTACAGGGGACCCCATGCAAAAACAAACACAAAAAGTGGGGTTCCTCCTTAACATCACAGCCCCTCTCTTACATCAGAGTTCACCCCTCACATCCAAAGGCCCCTTCATATTAGAGTAAACTAGATAAAAACGTTGTGCTGGACTTTAAAGGTACCCAATCTCACACATGTAAAATTTTTTATATACTGTACTTTATTGTTAAACATATTAAAACTCCATAAAAACCTTGTTATATATATA